TTTGCAATACTTTACATACTGCCAGCCAGAAATGTAACACTGGGGTTTATTTTTAGCTGAGTTCCTATAGATAATTATAACCATCCATTGTTTGTGGGTTGCTTAAAATATTGCCCCTGGTATATATTAGTTCATCTTTTAACACTGAATTTCATTTGTTTTCTTCACTCACTTACCACCTTGATGTTACAGCTCATGTAAGTCTATGTTCTCTGCAAGTTTCAGTGTCTGCTTGACCCTTTACAGGAATAAACATATAGTAAATAATGCATTAACCTGCTAACTACTGGAGATAATGAAAACTGAGAACTTTCTCATTTCTGTCTCTTTCCAATTAACCATAGCTTAATCAATGATAAAACTCTACCTCTTGTCTCATGAACAGTCCCAGGTTTTACTATTGAGAACTTTTGAAAACAAAAACTATAATTATATTTTTATATAATTTTAATATCATATAATGTTAAATTATATATTTTAGCTCTCCTTAGCAAAAGATATTCCTGTTGCACTTTCAGTGTACAAACTGATTTTTACTATTTTCCTATATCATCCCCTTTTAAAAAAGCAATAATTTTTGACTGCAGTTATCCATGATTTTGGGTTGTAGCTAACATACGATAAGTAGATTTGCTACCCGGCAGCCTTTTTCATTTTCTGTTAACTACTGCATGAAAACTCATAGTTCAGCCAGATGACTCCAAGGCTCCAGAAGAATTCATGAATAACTGTATGTAGGCCTAATGAAGTACAGCTTTTCAATTTATCTGTTTGTTCCAGTATTTTCTTCCTTCTAATGTTCAGAAACTTTGTACATGACTTATTCCATCCTCTGGAGAAAAGTGGCAAAATAAAGCCTTTACCTGGGTTTTTTTGCCATGTTGTATTTTAAAATCCAGCCATACCACTGTTCCTTTCTTGACTTTCCTTTGTCCTTTATTTACCCTTTCAAGAATTGTTTATGTCTTTGGTTATATGTTTTTTCATGGTTTGCATTGGAGTTCTCCTAATTTACATCTTACATTTTAAACTGCCAGAAATTACACTTCTTTCTAGGGAAGAAGAATTGAATAATACAAAAGAAAGATTGTATCTGTCACTGACAGATAGTATATTTATGCTTATGACATATGGATCAGTATATTTATTCATTGATTTATAGTACTTAGGTATTCTTACCAAAAACTCAATAGTTTTCTAAACTTCCTTTGGACTGGGGATGAAGGGGTATCCGGCTGGGAAACATCTTTTTTAATATGACTTTTCCAGGAGACAACAGATGAATTTTTGTTTCAAATTGTACCCACTTTGTTAATTCATCTCCACTTTGGGATTTTTTTAATAGGAAGAAGAGTAAAAGTGTGGTAAATTCATCTTTAGTTGCATTAAGAAAGTAATATTATTCATATAGAATCGTTATGCTAATATGAGGTACCTTAAGAGCGTGTGTGCAAATCTGGTCCTTCCACATTTGTTCATAGATCATGTGGACTGACATTTTAAAGCTTTTTTGGAAGACGTCAAAAAACAAAAATGAAAAATGTCTGCCAGTAGCATAAAAACTCATGTGATATTTGCTATTTCAATAGCAAATTGAATTTAAGGGAAGTCTGTTTGTGGGGAATAACACCTGTAAGTCAGTAATATTTTCCTTACTTTTTGGATAGACGTAATTTCTGTTTCATCTCCTCTTCATCATTCTCTTTATATCCTCTGCACATATGTGTTTTCCACTGAGCTGTTCTCCATCTGTAGGATAGTGCTTGATGTACAGAAAAATAGGGATTAAAGAACATTTTAGTAAAGTGCAGAGGAAAGTGGAAATTCCGCTAATAATCATGTTAGTTTTAGAAAATATCAAAATACTTAAAGATTATGCCTTGTAGATCTCAAAAAATGTATAGAACATGAGAGTTTCTTTAGAATCAGGGAAAATTATATATATAATAGATTATACTGAATCGAATTAGTAAATGGCTTAAAATATATATTTTTAGACCAAGGCAAGCATTCTGTAATCACAGAAAAGTGCAAGAAAATGACAATATTTATGTATATTATTTGTGTATAAATTAATTGCACTACCTTTTGCAATTCATAACTTGTTTATACAAATTACATTGTCAAGCTACATATTAGAATTTTTCTTCTGGAATGATTGTACACATATAGTAAGATCTTTTTATATAAGGACTATTTAAGGTCTTCTAAAATGTATGTTTATATTTTTATATAGAAATGTGTATGCATATTTATATTGCTTGTGATTTTTTGATTCTGTCTTCTTGCGAAGAACTTTTAATTGAATTCAAAGCAGAAAATTCACTAAAATGTACACAAGCTGGATCCAGTGCCATAGTATTGCTATTGAAATCAGTCATGTTGGATAAAAGTGTATTAACATGCAAATACACAACTGAATGTCTCCACATCGAATTTAGGTTTCCCAGTGTCACTACAAAAGCCACCATAGAAATATGTAATATTTAAATTGCAGAAGTATCGTGTGTGTGTCATCCACAACATTGTTGGATTTTTTCCCTATAAATGTTCTTACAAGCTATTGAGATCAACCAGTTAAAGGTTTTGGTGTACTGGTACTTCTGTTGATTTGTGTTGTTATACAGGATCAGGCTCTGTGGTAATACGTATATACAATGCAGTGAGAAATATTATAAAGGAATCGTCGTAGTAATGGAAATAAGAGAGCTGGTTCAGATTTAGGACTAATTACAATGACTGTAGTTGTTCTACAGCTGGTACTATTATCAGATCAGGAATTTATATACAAACTCTCAGAGATCTCATTTCATGGGTCTGTCCCAATTGCTGTACACTGTTCCATATGACTGCTTTGCATCAGTGGAGCGCGAAGCATCTGGGATACATCTTTAATACAACCAGTGTTTTGGCAGAGTGGCAACAGATAGCTTAGAAGTTCCTCACTCGGGTACTGGTAATGCTGTAGCTACATAAGAAACCCCTTGCTGCTTGGTATTAAGTTGATTATTTTATTTCAGTAAGTTAATTGCTTTTATCCCCTTTTGTCCTTTCCACCTTTCTACTGTGTTGCAGGCTGAAAAAATCTGTCATGAGCAAGAGGAAAAAAAATTAAAATTGAAAAGCTTAGATGTGCTCTGAGACAATGGGACTATTCCAGTGCTGAGTACTGTATGGGACATTGTTAAACTCATTCTTAAATGTATTAAAAAACAAACACTAAAACCAATGTACTATTGCCAGTGATCATGCAGAGCGTAATGAAACAATCTGGCTTAGCAATTATTTTTTTTAAAACATTACATGTATAACCATTGTCAAGCTACCACATTCCATAGTTGTTGGTCATTGTCCTACACACTCATCCTTCAACTAACTGCTTTTCTGCATATCTCATGCGTTTGTTTTTTTTTAATTTCCTCTTCGTTTTGTTTTTTAAGAAGGTAATAAAGAAGTGTGAGTCCTTTCAAAACCTGTCTCATGTTGATTGAAGCTGTCTATTTTCCAATTCAAAATACATTTTTAACACCTCCAAGATACCAGAAATAAGAGGTTTATATTAAATCTATATATTGATACCCAACTCTGTGTTTTTTGTAAAGAAGAGATAAAGCTGTCACTAGCTGACTGAATGTGCTTAAGAAATGAGAATTTGAGGGAAGAGCCACTTCAAGCTTAACTCAGACCAGTGAAGCTGAGTAGAAAATAGATGTAATTTAATAAATTGGAAGAGACCATTATTGTTTCTCGTATCAAGGTTATTTGTGTTCTGACTTCCAAAATGTAGCAAGTTGCCTCAAAGACCCAGTCTCTGCCTCTCAGGAATTTCCCCGTGTCTGTCCAAGGCTGAGATAGATTACAGAAATAAGGTAATTTATCTTTATGTCAAAACAAATGTCTATATTTTACATATTACATTTTCCATTTTAAAAGTGGCTAAAGGTCAAAGTCATATAAAAAATCAAATCAATAGATAAAGTGCTATTGAATAAAACCTTTTAAATTTACTTTTAATTACAATTTTAGATCCAATTTTGCAGTACCTACAAAATAATATCAAAGAATTTTATCATTAAGAACATCTAAGAATTTAGAAATCATACTTAGGATTTCTGGGAAACATATCTTTTTCCCACTGGAATTTATGTTTGTCAGAGTATTTCTTTCTTTCTTTCACAGAACAGGGAACATTATACAATCTATCACATATTGAGAAACAAGAATGTTGATTTAAAACCAGTACTTACAGGTGATAAGACACTTTAATCTCCCTTCTCTGCTTTTTACTCCTGCTCTAGGTGGTGCTACAGATCTGCATGTGAAGTCTTTAGGAAGACATCACTTTTTGTTAATGTTTAATTGATATCTTGTTTTTTCCACTTCTGTTTTTGATGAACCATTTTTTTTTTCTTAATGACTAAAAGGAAAAAAAATTCTTTTGACTAGTTTGATAAAATCGGGAAAAAAAATGAAGACATTTTCATAGTTTAAATTCTGGAGCACATACAGAATATTGAAGAGTTTATAGAGTAATTTTTAAAGAAAAAAATAGAAAAAATAGACTGCTTAGATTTGAAAGGTTATGAAAATGCAGTACTTACTATATACATATGTAGTTTAAAAGCATATAACTTTTGAGTCAAATATTTTTAGACTCCCTGATCATTTTAGATCTTTACAACACAGTGTGAAGGATCATTTTTCTTTCATTGCTTATCTAATTTCTGATGTTATCACTTTGCATATTATAAGAAACTTTGTTAGATTCTATTTTTCTGCTTTAAGAGGATTTTTTTAATGATTTCTTTTTTAATGTGGTGGGGTTCATTGGTTGGGGTTTTTTTCCCCCTAAGTGGAAAGTCAAGTGTCTGCTTTAAAACTCCTTGCACTGATGGTTTAATTTCCTTCCTTCGTTACTGGAAAACATCAAAGAATCAGAAGGATATTTTTGCCTGAATGTCTGTAGGCAGTGATAGAACATTCCCAAACACTACCTATTTAACCTGAGTTTTCTTTACTGACACAGTCATTAATTTAAATTAAATTTTAAAAATCTTCAGATTATCTAGCTGGGAGTCCTCCAGAAAGATGTGTGTGTTGCATGTTCCAATGTAATGATGCTGTCTTCACTAAAGTTAAAGGGGACAAAAACCCCTTGCTTTTGGGATGGAATGGATTCCTTCCTGATTTCTTATTTTCTTTTTTCATCTAGTTCTTCCTTCAATGAAATATTGCCTCTGGACTGCAGGAATAGTAAGAAAAAAAGTGAATATTTTAGCAAAACAAAAATTTTCCAACGACTCCAAAAAGATTGCCAGAGGACAAAATTCTAAAGAAGACATATAAATGACACATGAAAGAAAATCTGCATGAATCTCTTGGTGTCACCAACTGTGTGTCTGAGTTCAAAGGGAAGAATGATTAAATTTGCTGATTTTAATTTCTCTTTATGAAATGGTATCACAGAAAGGAATTATCTTTCCGTTACCTTTTCTTCCGTTTCCAAGTGGGAATATATTCAGAAACAGTAGAGAAAACATTACAATTTCCTTCTGAAAAAATGGTGGAATAGTTTGATTACACCAGAATTGGAAAATGAAAGCTGTTTGCAAAGGTTTGTTTAAAACATGTCCTTAGATATCTTTTTCTTTTTGGTAAATATTTTACAGTCTTTTTTTGTCTGCGTAATGTTCTGTAGTACAGAAAAAAGAAGATTCTACATCCTCGGAAGATAATTTATACTTAACAAACTCCACTTTCAAATTATGAAACTAATTTTTCCTGAAGCATATCTTCAGATTCAGAAAGCGTTTTCTCTATACAGTCAGAATAGCATCTTAGTTTTCAAAGCAGGAAATATATAAATATGTATTATTGCAAACAATTTTAAATAATTCTAACCAATTCTAAGAAATATTTCTATACATAGTCTTTAACAATCTTTAAACAGACTTTAACAGAGTTGCACTAATAAGGTGCAAAATGCTTTCCTAAAACCAAAAAAAAGTATCATAAACTGCAACTTAAAGAATTTGTTTCTGTTTACCATGTAGTTTAGAAAGTAAGTTGCTTTATAGGAGGAAAATGTTTTATGAATTGTTTTTTCATCAGATGGCATGTTTTTATAATCCACTTATTTAACTGCTCAACACAAGTCAATACAGGGTAAAGAATGCAATAATTATCTTTTGTTTGAAGTACTGCAAAAATATGTTTAGCACTCACATGAAACTAACAGCTAAGAATTCTATTTCTGGATTTTCTATTGATTTCCTGCATGTTTTTGCGTGAGTAATACTTCTATTCTGCAGAGTGCAGCCCTGCTCCTTACATGCTCCTTACCTGCTTACACTGATTATTTGTGAAATGAAAGCTCTAGTCTCTCTAACTTTTGAAAGCTGTAAAAGATATAAATTCTGGCACTTAGAGTATTTTATTTTATGTAATGTAAAAGTACTCAAAGACAACATGATGACTCTTAAGAAGTATCCAGCAAGTACTGGATCTGGAAGTCTGAACAAATTGGCATGGATGAGATAGAGAATACTAAATGTAGCAATAGTAATATTCAGAATTTCAACATATCTATGTCTTTGTGTTCAAGAATTTTCAGACACCTGAAATTTCCGTATAAAGAAATAGTGCTTTCCTAAGTGGCTTAATTCCACTGAAAATAATGAGTCAAATTATAATTAAATTTACTGCCACAAAAACTTTGATTCCATGCAAGGAAAATTTATGTTTTCAGTCAGTCACCAAGCTGATGTGACAACTCATACAATAAAAGGCAACTTATTTAAAATTGAAAAAAAAAAAGAAGAGCCATTAGACATTGATATTATTGTATCGCTCAGAAAAGAGTCAGGAAATAAACTTGGATAAAAATGATTTATCATGAGGTATCAGCGATCTAATCTTAGAAAACAATCAGTTTATTCATTTAGTCTATGGAATTTTTCTCACAGGCCTCAGAAGAATGTGTGTGGATTTTAGCTGAGTTAATCTGGAGGAAATGAAATCTTTAATCTTTTAAAAGATTGTAATGTTTCTTCTTGCTTTGCAGCCACTAATACCAGGAGACAGAGAAGGTAGTTACAACCTAGCTGATAGACATATGGTGTAGCAAAGCTCATTAGTTCTGTTGTCATTAGCAGAAAGGTTTATTACTTAGGAGTTGATCTGTGGAGAGAGAAATTACTGAATGTTGTGTTGCATTTTGTATGACTTGAAACTTCTTTCACATATGATTGGACATCTGGCTGATGGTCTCTAGGAACCATTGGGCTATCCCAGCAGTTCCAAAATAAATGTCACTACTTAGTCTGTAAGTTGAATCCATGTCATAGCAGAAGAGAGTATTTGCAGGAGTAGGACACAGTCCAGGTTTCTGTGCAGCTCTTTTCCTTAAGAAGAAGGTCTTTACTCCGGACTGGCTGAAAGACCACAAATGTCTTCTCTTGCTCTGGTCAGCCCAGGAAATGCAGAAAAATTAATTCATTTCCATTTAAGGAAAAGGGAAGCAATGGCATTGCGATGCAAAAAACCCCACTATGAAACTTCAGAAAGGCATCATAATTTAACTAGAATTAGCCACAATATACTGAATCTGCTGCTACTGCCTTATGCTCAGATTTGCATAGTATACCCCTATCATGTTGCAATGGATAGTGCAGTTTGCCTCGACTATCTTGGAAGAAGGCACCAAATTATAATCATAACTATCTGTGAGTTGGGCCATATTGTCTAATAATTTTATAGCCAAGTTTTTGGGATCAGGATGTGAGTTTGAATATTTGTTGTTATTTAAGGATTGTGCTGTTAGGAGGATGTAGTCATTCAGTTTTTCAGGCATACTAGAGGTATTGCCTATACAACTGAATTTCCTGTATGGAAAGAACAAATTTTCTATGTCTCACAAACATGCTGAAGTGTTCTGAGAATAAGTGCCCAGTGCATATTTGGGGACTGGCCTTGATGCTGCATGGTTAGTATGCTAATATTTCAAATTAAGAGTTAAAATTAGCAATGTGGCAGCAGTTTCACAGTGTGTCTGCATCTGAATGATGTCAAACTAGAAAAGCGTACCATAGTTCTGCTAAGTGCAAAAATGTGAGTGCATGTGCTTGTGTCACTGTTGGTTGTTTTGGTACTTCCATTGTCTTTTACCTTCACAGAAAAAGTAAAGGGATAATATGCACAAGGACAGTCATCAATACTAAATTGAATGTTATTGACTGAGTGAGCTACCAACTCACAGTCATCAGCAAAAAGAAGGTCGCTGATGAAGAAATCAGCCATATGTGTCTGCAGACTGAACAACTTACATCAGTAAGAAACTGAATAAACATAGCTCTGTCAGTGGCACAAAGTGCTTCCTTCTGCACAACAGAAAGGAGATGTAAAGGAGTATGGAAACTATTTATGATATTAAAGAGATCTTGCCATTTCCACCTATCTAACCATCATCTTATTACAGAGGCTTAGATAAGTCAGAAAGAAAATTTGCAGGGCATTCGTGGGTCTGCCAAAGCTTTGAGAGTCCCTTATAATTCACATTGTCAAAAGCTTTAGCTAGATCAACGGTCAGCAAGCAAAGACTGTAACTTGAACTGATACTATTTGAAGAGGATCATGTGTATAGTGTTACTTTCCTAAATAAGTCCACATGGAAGTTTTGGGAAGACTGATTACAAAACAGAACTTGAGTTGCTCAGTTTAGGTATGCTAGGATTTTCCTAGCATCAGATAAGAGAAATTCCAGAATAATGTTCACAGTTTGCATCATGATTTTTTGTAATAGAAATTGTTGGTATCTTTGAATTGCTGTGAAATTGCCTCCTGCTTTCATATAATGTAAGAAGACCACATGGTGTTCGTGCTGCTTTTTCAAATGTAATTTAGCGCCGTGTCTTTTCCAGGCCTGTATTGTACAAAGTCACTGAGTGTGCTGTTTCGATGTCAAGACTTTGTAAAAGAAAGAACATTTTTGACTGAAAAATTTGACAAGTCATCTTTGCATTTTGAGCACAGGAGACTATAAATTTCAGTGTATGACAAATTTCTGTCATTCTCAGAACTGTGACTAAGGATTTTTTATTCTACACTTCATACTGCCAAAGTATTGTATTAAGTTTGTTGAGCTTACGTGCTATAACAGGTGAAAAGATATGTGTGCTGTCACTCTCTTACCTATGCAAGAAGTATATAATACAGGTACAGAAACTGCATTGAGTAGGCTGATATTGACAAATGGCAGGTTTAGTTTTGAGCTCTTTTGTCTAGTGAATGGTATTGATTTCTCTAGATTCAATGCTACTCCAGAGTGCTTTCTGGAGTGATGTTTTTATGTTAATTTAAAGTGCGTTTATACCATTTTGTGACTACATTCTGTGTTAATGGACACCTACTTCTGTCATGTCCAATACAGTCTTGGGCCTCTGTTCTATATGTAATTTGTGCCACTATCAAATCTTATTACCTGCAACTGCTGGTTTTCTGTTTGAGTTTTCAGCTGACAATCCAAAATTCATGGCAATGCTTGAAGACAGAGGTATAGTTTCTGAAAATTGACAAGAGCTCAGGATAAGTTAGAGGAATTGGAGGGGAAAATAGAAGCAAGCAGTGTACTGGTTTTTAAATTGAGGAAATAGTCTGGGTTTTTTTATCACAATTACATAACTATCTGAACAAAAACAGAAAGAGGGTTCTTCTTATGAAATCTCCAAATACAAAACAAAATGTAATTTTAATTCAGGCTGAAACAAACAAACAAAATAATCAGAGTATATCTGATCTGTAAAGCTTTTTTAAAATCAGTTTGGCAAATACAAATGCATTTATGGTTTATATCAGAGTTGTCTGATCTGTGTAATTTTTCCCCAAAAGGGTGTGAAGCAATTTGTCCATCTCTCTGCACCTTCAAAAGAAGGAAGTTGAAGCAGTCTTTCAATCCTGTTACTGTATTTCTGGTGAGTTAGTGATGATGTCCCTCCCAGATGCAGTAGAGTAACACACTATGGCAATAATATATAGATAAAATACAGTACAGAAACTTGCACTGTGCAAGTAATGGATAATCTGCCTATGCACATCATATTTAAATTATATCCTAACACCTTTTTGTACAATATCATTTCTATTGAAACAACAAATTAAAGGCATAGGTTAACTTGGTATTGTCTCCAGAGTTCTCAGTCTTCTGTTAACCTACTCATATTTTTTATCATTTCCATTCCCCACTCCTTATTCTTTTAAATTCTTTCTGCAAACAAAACATCCTCACTGAGAATCAATCTCCCTTTCTTCCTTCCTCTCTCCTTTTATATTCCTCTTTTTTTCTCTCCTTCTTCTTCTTCTTCTCAGTTTTCTTCTCCTTTCTTGCTTTGTCATATTTAATGGAATTAAGAAATTATGTAAAGAAAATCTCAGGGGCACTGACCACTAAGTTTTTTTTGGAGGACACCAGAGGAAAAGCACCAGGCAAAGAAATAGCAGAACATTGTTTGGTGAAATTCAGAGTATACAGTTGTTATAACAAGCTGTTCTTATTACCAGGAGAAATCAGGACCATGCTTAGGTCTTGCATACCTATCAAGTGGGATTACACTTCTGCAACATACCTGAAATGAGTAACATAATATACAAATAGGACATAAAATGACATTCCTTTTTATGCTTTTAGTATGTGTTTAAATGACTGATATATGACCATGTGAGTCAGCAGTTCTCAAATTGTGTGCTGTGGTCCATAGGAAGCCTCTTTAGCACTTAGTACTGTTTTCCACCTGCCCTCCTCCAATCCTAACCTAAAGATAGATGAAATACATTACCTACTTTACCAGTATCTTGCCAGTTTTTATATTTATTGCATTGTCCAACTCTTGAACTGATTTGGTGTATGTTTTTAGTAATGGGAAGAAAGTGAGAAAAACTTTTTTGAGGCAGTTTGTAAACTTTCTAAGCAGGGTCAGCATAGCAACCACGGGAGCTGGACTTCACTCTTTGTCTTTAGACTCTTTCATAAAAATTGCAACTCATGGTTCCATCAGGTGACACCAGCATGAGCACATGCCGCCTTCTGTGTTTCTTGCTACTGCCACTTAGAAAGAATTATTTTGGAGCTCTGTAGGGTTACCTTTTCTCCTTCTCTTTCAATAGGGGCAGTTTTGTCTGTTGTCTTTGCTTCTTTCCTCTGCCCTCTTGTTGGGAGAGTAGAGGCAGTGACAGTACCACAATGAAGTGCTTGGCTGTGCCAGCAGCAATTAGCTGCTCAAATAGTTGCTTCTCTTCCCTAGAAAAAAGCCACTAAAGCAGATGAAAGCATCCTGTGGGCTGGACTTGATCCGTGGACTACCTGTAGAATTTGCAGAACTCGTTAGCATCTCCTCTATTGCTTATAGTCTGCTAGGTGTAAAGGTATATTTAATTTAATTTTAGATGTTATATTCCTTTAATGAGACAGAGTGTGTTTCATAAAGACATTACTTGCAATATATAAAGCGGTTTTGTGAGGGTAAAATTATGTACGTCTTGGACATAAAGTGCTTGCTAAAGGGCTTAATGGCATAAATATTTCTACTGCTAGAGAATGAAAGTCCACCAGTAAAAATCAAAGCATATGTTAAGTAAGATCTTAAACAAATCTGTATTCAAAAATAATAAAGTTTCATGATTTAATTTACAAACTGCAAAGAAAGCAAGGACACCACATTTATGTAAAGATTCTGCTTATCTATGATTTATTTTTTTCTGAAGACTGAAAGGCCAAATCCCGAGAACTTCAGTGGAAGTTACGTGCAGGATTCTGGAAGAATTATAGTCCGTGATAGTAGTTGACTACCTTCTAAGGTGTTACAAAAGATATTAGAGGGTTAAATGTTCAGCTTGTAGCTGCAACTTTTAAACTTGAGCTTGGGAAATTTAAATTCAGTAAACATCCTTGCTACGTTCTTTTCAGAAAACAAGTCTCATGCATTTTTATGTGCTTCTGTATTATTTAATATGTTACACCTTACTTAGACTTAGTCAGAGTTCTGAAAGAAAATAAAAAATACAACTGGGATAGCTGTTAGATGTACTCTGCCAAATATTATTTTGCCCAGGTCATGTGTAGGGTGCTATCATTAGTGTTCCATGCTAGCAATTTTATTGTTGTTTGAATTTTTTTGTTGTTGTTGTTTTGTGGCCTTTGTTATGGCCTTGGGCCTCAATCAGCTCATTAAAAATTAAATTGCTAATTATAACCTGGCTTTGTTTTCCACTTTGATCAGAAAGCACAATAGGTTCCTTAAGTGGATTTACCCATAAAATATTCTGGTAATGAGAATAGAAAAGGCAAGTTTAATAACTTTAATATCAAAACAAAAGCTACAGAAATTCCACCCAGAGGAAAATAACAAAAATTTTATCTAATAAAAAGATAAAGCTCCTTGAAATACCAAAATTCCGTTTTCTAGCTTATTAAATTAACATCTTTAACAATTCGAAGTAGGTATAATTTCCACTACTTCTCCTATGGCTAATGCTCCTCTTCCATCAGCCTGAACATTACAGCATTATTTAATTTGTACTGCAATAACTTGAATTCAAAGGAGGAGATAGAACTGTTTAAAAATCATAGAGAAAATTTGCTGAATGCTGTTAATTGCCCATGTTTTAACTGTTTTTGCAGTTTTACTGTGTTCACTCATTACTTGCTATGCAGGAACACTTAGAGATTTTAGCTCATAGGCATTTCCTCACATAAAGATTTGGAAATGGGTGGTGGTAGAAACATAATATAAAAATATATGTAATGTGAAAGCACAAATCCACTTAGTCAAATCTGCTGTTTCTCACAGGATCTAGGGGAAAGTATGAGAGTAAGAAAAAAATATATTGATACATGTCCAGCATCTTAAGTGAGCTTTCTGTGACCTTTGGCACCAGTGATCTCTTTCCTATACAGACAGCAATGATCTTAAAACAGAACATTCGCAGGTAAACATGAGTGTTTGATTTTTGTTTTTATTATTCTCTTTTCATTAGTCTTCTTTTGATTTCTTTTGTTATTCCCTTTTCATTAGTCTCCATTTCCAAAGGTTTCACTCATTCTGAAATGAGATCAAATCCCTGCAACTGAATGATCAGTTGCAAACCATGGAGGATGAATAGTTCAGCTATGGTTCTGAGTGATGAAAACACACAGGAAATGTTTGTAGTAAGAGGTGGGAAATAATTCCTAATGGACAGAATTAATTAACAATTACTATAAAAACCAAGAACCAGTCTGTCAAATGTAATTTTCACTTACTAGTTCTTAATGAATAAGGATCCAAAACAAATAATTGAGAATGACTTTGGGAAGGAATATGAAATAAGTTTGCTCATACTAGTAAGCTAGCTTCTGAAAATTGAATTAAAATGAAACTTAGTACTACTTTTAAATAAATACAGAAAGATGAAACATTTATGTTAGCATTTCATCATAACATTATAGCTATCAGGCAAGGGTTGGCAAGCTTAATATTTGACAGGGTTTTCAAGCCTGGACTACCACACCTTGAGAAAATAAAGAGGCTTCAAAGCTTGTCTACCTCCAGAGAGGTCTTGAAATGAGATAGAGACAGTAAAAGGTGACTTGTCAACTCCAACTGAAATCCCTGAGCATGATCACAGAATCATAGAATCATAGAATCAGCCAGGTTGGAAGGGACCTCTGAGATCATCAAGTCCAACCCCTGATCCACTACCGCTGTGGTTACTAGAGCATGGCACTAAGTACCACATCCAGTCTCATCTTAAAAACCTGCAGGGACGATGAATCCACCACTTCCCTGGGCAGCCCATTCCAATGCCTGATTACCCTCTCTGTAAAGAATTTCTTCCTAATATCTAACCTAAACCTCCCCTGGCAGAGCTTAAGACCATGCCCTCTTGTCTTACTGGGAGAAGAGACCAACCCCCACCTGGCTACAACCTGCTTTCAGGGAGTTCTGGAGAGTGACAAGGTTTCCCCTGAGCCTCCTCTTCTCCAGACTAAACAATCCCAGCTCCCTCAGCCTCTCCTCATAGGATTTGTGCTCGAGTCCCTTTACCAGCCTTGTTGCTCTTCTCTGGACCTGCTCCAGCACCTCAACATCCTTCCTGAACTGAGGGGCCCAGAACTGGACACAGTACTCCAGGTGTGGCCTCACCAGCGCTGAATACAGGGGAAGAATCACTTCCCTGGACCTGTTGGCTACACTGTTCCTGATCCAGGCCAGGATGCCATTGGCCTTCTTGACCACCTGGGCACACTGCTGGCTCATGTTCAGCTTCCTGTCAATCCAGAGTCCCAGGTCTCTTTCTGCCTGGCTGCTCTCCAGCCACTCTGTCCCCAGCCTGTAGCACTGCATGGGGTTGTTGTCACCAAAAGTGCGGGACTTGGCACTTGGCCTTGTTGAACCTCATCCCGTTGGAATCAGCCCAACTCTCCAGTCTGTCCAGGTCCCTCTGAAGAGCTGTCCTGCCTTCCAGCTGATCACATGTGGCAAAGGGCTGGAAAGAGATATTTTCATGCTCTTATGACTGACTTGTTTTTCAGTCAAGAAGGGAGTGAGATCTTTCCTTTTTTATCACATTTGTAGTCATCTTTCTTTTTTTTTTTTTGTAAGAATATAATAAGCACAGATTGAGGATGTAAATTAAAAGACTGCATAGGCAATACTTTTCAAGTTGACTCCTCTGTATTATTTTCAGATTTTTGGGAAATGTTAAAGGTCAGAATTTGTGTACTGTCATTCAAATCTTTTGAGTTTAGAACTTTACAAGAAAAGTTCAAGAGAGAAGAAAAATATTTTGCACATCTATTTGTCCTACTTGTAAATTTCCTCATAACTGTCTGGAAAATGATTGAAAAGTTATTATTTTCTTTAAAGTATATTGTATTATAAAGGGTCTTTTCATGATAGATTGTATAATAAAGTGTCTTTTTATAAACAACTTATAACTTCAACAAATTATTTAAGTTGAAAAATAAAGCTGCCTTGTGGATGGAGTGCATTAAGTCATCAGCACATTTTGAGAGCTCTGAAACTGTCTCTGGGTATTAATACTTGACTAAGTTATTCAGTTTTGCAATCTGCTGTTCATATATATATTTAAATGAAGACATTTTCCTTGGAAAATCACAGTGGCCTAAATTGATCTCTGATTTCTGTAAATAGCTTGAATGTATTTCTTCACAGGATGTGTACACTGTATGCAGAATAATTTTTATAATAAATATATTAGAAGCTTTCATGTGTACAAACATGAAGAATGGCAAGATTTTTTATATGTTCATATTATTTATAATCACAGTCTGTTTTATGAGTTATTTCCTATATGGCAGTGATTATGAATGTGCTAGGATTTTTCAGTCTTTGGTTGAATGTTGTATTAAATAATTACTGTTCAGAACAATATGCTGATACTGGTCAATGATTTGAAATAAACTTTGATCCATCATTAAAAAACTGCACTTCCTATATATTTTATCAAATGTAATGTTTTTGCCTGTGTTCTGTATTCATTGTGAGTAGATGACTCATAAGGAAAAACTATTCTGTTCTCAAATTCTCCAGCAACTGCCATTCAAAAGTTATTAGATTAAACTAGTTTTAAAATTAGGAAACAATATCAATAAGTTAAGGATAAGAAGAAACAATAAGCAAAAACCTGTTAAAACCCAGCTGGTTCAAAAATAAGATATGTACAGGAATATATAATAAAATTGATAGACATATATGCATACGCATTCATATATGTACACATCCAAAGCTATATATATTTACATATACATGTATGCTTGTACACACAAAGGAGATGCTTTAAATACATAAACAAATGAATAAAGGACATATATATTTTCAATATTAAAAAATATGGGATAATTCTAAAGAATCTGAAGTATTTTATCTGTGTATCTAAAAGAAACCTTTCCTTCCCTGTCATGGGAAATATCTAGGACCACCTTTATGGTTTGGTCCATATATTCAATATCCTGTAAGTGTGCTGCTTTGTTGACTACATTGGCTTTTCTTCTCATTGTTTAGGTTTTGTAAATAAAACGGAAGGATTTTTGATATATTGCAAAGAATTAGCAGTCTGCCAGTACTTGGGTTGATTGCTTCTCACACAGAATTTTAGCACTTGGGTTAACTTCCAGTAAATATACAACACTTCATAATGTCTTTGTTTCAGCTGACACTAAGGTATATGGTCACATGTAAGTGTGTATTCAATCTATCATAAATAAAACAGTATAGCTTATATTTAGTACCTGCAAAGCTTCTTTTGCTCAGGTATTTCAAACTTTCCCATTATTTTTAGTTATGCAATGGTTAGACCTTTGCATTTAATTTAGCAGGAAAAAAATACAAATTACAAGTTCAGAAGTATTTAGTTCCTAGTTAGTGCCTAGTGTGATTAAATAGGATTCTGGTCCGACTTCAGAAAAGTCATATGACCTTCATTACACCACTTGTAAACCAATCAGCTGTGTCACCTCCCTCCCCATCCTTCATCTTACAGAAGACTGAAATTGGTTTATTTCTTTTCATCTAGGAAGAGGAAATAATCTAAAATTCTGTCCTGATAAAACAAAACTGTACTCTTTTGGTATGAGGTTTGTACTTCATTATTTTTGAGATAAGCCTTTGAAAATTCTTTCTGCAGGTAGACCACCTTCAGTTGACAGAGATAACATGCACTTCTAGTGTATCAGATTGTTCTGAAAATATGAGTGGTTTGAAGTAACATCAGGAAAGGATTTGGTCTATTGAGTCAAATCAGTTCCTGATTACTTTTCTGCTTGTGGAGACTACCCTGTTGTGTTGAAATATGTCCCTGCAATGCCATTCTGATTATCAACACACTGAAGAACCAGTGGCTTGTTAAAGGGCAGATAGCTGAAGGACTGATAACTTTTTGCTCTTTCTCTTCCTCCATCTACCATCCTAATAATTGCCATTAAGCATCAAGACTCTGTATATGGAAGTGCCTTTATTATAGAAGCAACAATAGTTGCTTTCAGCTATTCTAACGTCTGAAACTGGGGTTCACAGTTGTCTGACTTTACTGTGATTGTTATCTAGATTGTTGTGCTTTTCTAAGTTGTTTCCTCTCTCCCCATTATGACACTTTTATTCTGAATCTCCAGTGAGGCTGTGTGACTTTCTACCATTCCTATTGCTTACAGAAAACATAAACGTAACTATGGCTTTCAGCTTTCCCCATTATCCTCAAAATCATACAACATAATTTAATGTTTAGTGGTATTTTGCCATGTCCTTTATGTGTTATTTTTAAGCTTATCTATAATCACTGTCTACACTTTGTGGTAAAATATATCCAGAAAGATACTACACGTTTAAAAGACAACCACCATCATTCAGTAGAATCAAAACACCCTTTGGTAGAAAATAATAGATTATATGTGATTTGTACATGACATTGTACTGGATGGATTAGAATTTCCATGAGAGCCATTTAACATGACACAAAAAAAATGCTGATAGCTAAGGTACCAGAAAGCACTTTTTTTTTTTTATAAGAAAAATTTTGCCTCTGTTACTTTTCAAGGTCAAAAACTTTTCCAGTGACCTCTAAGGAAAAAATCATTAGAAGAGATTTAGGTTCTTGGAGAAACTTTCTCTCATTTTAGGAAGAAAATGTCATTTGGAGTCAGAAGCAGAACATCGGTTCCTTTTCAGTGCAATTACTTAATCAGTGCTTCTGGAGATTAGCCTGAAATACTGCATTACTGAACGAAGCTCATTTTTCCTTACAAAAACAGAGCTCCATTCATTTAAACATTAAAATAAAGTGTATCACTTTAGCTACAATGCAGTACTCTGCAGTATCTAATTTCAATCAGTAAGAATCTTAATATAATTTAAAAAAATGTTGTAAATTAGATCTGAAAATGCATCATTGTCAAAGAACATACTTTCAAGTTCATGTTTCTAGTCACATTATTTAATCTTTGGTAATATTTTTGGTATGTCTCTCATTTACTCAGAAATTAGGATGTTTGTTGTCCCTGGTGCCATTTCACTTAACAGTTCAGATGATTTCCAGTTCAATTTAAGTGAAGAAAAAGACTTTTCAAAGCATAACACTGGTTTTTGCAGCTTTTTTTTTTCTGTTTTTTTTTTTACTACAAAAAGATCATGGAGTTGAAAGCTGATATTTGTAAAATAGTAAACCTCACTGAGCTTTTTATGTTTTTGTAAGGTACTAAAAGTTATATTCTGTGTAATAAAACTAGGCAATTATTTTGTAAATGCATATTTAACTATGAAAAATTACTAATGTTTTTTACAGTGTGATGTAAATACCTGCCAAGAGACCTCTGCCTTTCAACTTTTTATGGTCTTAAAGGGTAGAGATAACAAAATTTTGTTGAGTGATCTGCACTTGTTCCTAGTCAGAGACACGTGTTTCAGAGTCACAGAAGAAGAATCAATAGAAGATTTGAAATTTTAAGTGCCATGGCAGAGGAATCTTGAGGCACCTTATTGTTTTATATCTTAACAAGTTTCCCAAAAGTTTGCAGGATAATGCAGGAAAATCTTGTTTTAAAAATCCAAGACTATTCTTTTTGTTGTTCATTGATCAGTTTTCAACTAGTTTGACAAATTAAT